CATTCAAGCCCTAATTTGCCCCTAATTCCGCACTTAGCTGACAGAAGCTCTGCTACCACTCCAGATGCTAACAGACAGTAGTCCCAAAAGCATAATGATTTTTTGGAAAGACTACGCCTTTCTAAAAGATATAGTTTATCTCAATGGGAATTTATGAGCTTGATGGAGGAAACACTTGATTAAATTTTACAGCCTGTAATGTACAAGAGCCAAGATTAGATTATCATAATTGGCCCATGAAATGCTGGAAACCGCATATCCGAGTTAGAGTATGGTATCTGGAATGCACCCCTGAGCACCCAGGCCCTGTGCTGGTTCCACGGCCAGTAGGAATTACAATGCAGAAAAACAGCATAAGCAAACAAACAAATGCTCTGTATCTCTGAGAGTGCAGAGTTTCACATAAAATAATGAAAGGCCATCATCTATCTTCCTTGCTTATGTAACTGATCATCCAAAAATACAGAACTGAAAGTGATAGGGAAAAATACTGAGGGAGGTGCCCAAAATGCTCAGTCAGATTCTTTTTATTTTGAGCATTTGTTTCCTGAACTCAAATAGGATCATACCAAGACAGTCACCACTTTGAGTGTCAGTCCTTGTAAGTCATTGCCCAGACGTCGTTCTTGAAGACTACCGTTCAGTCCTTTCTCAGAGTCCCACGTTGCCAACTAGAACAGAAAGTGCAGTGAGTCTGAAGGACTGTTAGGCAGAAATCTTTCAGTATTTACATGAACATTTAACAGTAGCGTGACCGAATCCAGAACTGATACAGAGAGGATTAGAGAGGTGTGTGGGTTTTAAATCAGAATCAGAATTAGTGAGATTCAGAGGGCAGACATAAACAAGTACCTTGCCTGAATGCGGTTTCATCAATACCTGTCACATAACTGCTCTATTATCTGTAGTATTTGTTGTATTATTTCACTTAGATCACTCTGATACGACGTTTCTCTCCAGTAAGTTTATATTGCCTGACAGTCCTCAGGATCATCTGTGGTCTCACTATCCACATTCCCCTCTCTGCTCAGATCCCCTCCTACTTTTCAAATCATTCCCTACTGCTTATCAAGGACCGACCTTTCTTCCTGCTGCATAACGTTCTTGTTCACTGGTGGTCATAAGTTCTTGGCACAGATTCTATGGTGTGAAACTGTGTCCTCTCTCGGACTTTCTTCAGATCCTATCTTAAGTCCTATTTTCTCTCTTCTTGCCCTACTTCTATCTCATCAGTAAAACCATGACAGTCTCTCAAGTTCCCAGGCTCCTGATGATCAAATATCTCATATCTACCAGTACTTCATGCATCTGCTAGATGTACTTGGATGCATGTTTTCAGGATATCTCCCTGGAATATTACATCTAAATATTTTATTTTTCAATTAAATGTATCACTTTGAAAATCAATTTTACTGCATTTTCTGAAGAGAAATGCAGTAAAATTCAATAGAATAGGTTCAATAGAAAATTCAATCTTAAGTGACCTTTGGATTATTCAGACTAAATATGCTCTTCAGCATAGGAGCCAGACACTCCTTTTGCCTTCAAACAGAATCCATGGTGTCGTTTTGTTCAGAAGAGTCATAAATAATATCAAGTAGAAACCGTTTCCTTCTTTTTTTCAGCTCTACTCTTAAACACCAGTACTATGCTCACATATGTGGAAGCTGAAGGCATGCCCTGTAGAAATTAAACGTAGTCCGAGATCTGTGAAATATGGCTTCTTCCTTCCAGAAGCTAATTTTCATGTAACAAGTCAAAACCTTCTTGGAAATAACTTATTTCACTGAAAATGCCTACGGCTAGATGTCCTACATGATTTATTTCTGTGACTTCAGTTTTATCCTAAAGCTTCAAAAATCAAACCAACAAATAAAATGTGATGGGAGAGATCTGTATAGTTTTATTTTTGTTTTGTTGCACTAAACTAATAAACAGGGAACTAGAAAAGAACAGGACATTCGGTGAACATTCAGCCATCATAACTATCACAACTGATGAAAATTATTCTATAGTCCCTAAATCTTGAAAGCTGAGACACAGGAGAGGGAAGAATTAAGCTACACCTCCTTTTATCCAGCTGACCTGGAGGATGGAGGAGGACAATGACTGAATAATACTCAGCTTTCTAAAGACACTCTTGACAGCTAAATCTCTCAGATTGAGAACTCTCCCCCTGTGATGCCAGTTTGGAGTGACAGAGGAGCTTCTGCACATAAAAGTGTCTGCAGCAATACAGGTAGATTCCTATAGCCATGGTATCTTTTAAATTCGAAGGTAGATGCTTGCTCTGAAATATGTCCAGATGTTTCTTAGCTTTTGCTATTGCCAAACAAAACTGACCAATTCAAAGACCAGTATAGGTGCATGTGGTATATATTGTGTCTCAAATCTGTAAAGAAAGTTTATTGTCTAAGCCTTCTTCAGCTGTCCTATGCAGTAAGTATATGATAAAGATACATGGAAGGTTTTGGCCAAAATGGCTTGCACAATCTACAGATAATGATTAAATATTTATTAAAAAATGGGAAATGTAACACATTCATTTATCACTTCACCACTGGTGGACTGACATTTCAATTCCTTCTCCCACTCCTTTCCCTTCAAAAACTCTTATCTGATTTCATATCAAGCCCTTAGACTTTTTGAATACCCTATATTTTGCATTCTGCATTAACACTAAGGATTCCTAAAATGATTTGGAAACACGTCAGTGCAAAACCATAAATTTATTCCTTTTATTCAAAAGGAGATAGACAAAAATTTCTCTTTTATGCAGTAGGGGTAGGCGTGAGGAGGAGGAGCATATTTCACCACAGCACAGAACTCCATAGTGTTCTCTATGGAGGCACAAACTATGCAGATGAAGTTGATAAATGGAACATGAGGAAAACCTTCTCCAGAAGGGATTTGTCCTGTGCATCCTTGTGCTTCAGAACATTTCATTTGTTCAGAAGTGTGCCAATTTTAACTTCCACTTCTTGCAGACAGAATTTTTTTTATAGGACCGATGTATTTACAGATACGTCTACCAATTTGTGACAGCTGACCTGTCAAGATCAGTGCCCAAGAAACTAATTTCCAGCACTGTTAAACACAATGAGTACTGCTGTTATTTGATAAGGCCGTCAGAGTTTCATTCATTGTAGAAATACGTACCATGTTCCTACCAGAAGTCTGAAGCCAAAGGTTACAGCACAGCTATCAGCTGATGGGAGATAAAGGGGTTTTAGACCTGTTTATAACAAACAACTGCTTGCAGGATCAGCACTTGTAGGATGTATTTCAAAAATCAATGGTCTCTGGAACATATATTTAATGGCAGTCCGGGTGGCGTTTTTTTGATTCTCAAGTTACTGGGTTATGGAAGTTCAAGTTTTGAAAACAGCTACTTTATTAAAGCTTTTCAACTTAAACCTTCTTCCTAGCTTCTCTTTCTGAAATAGCCATGTTGTTGGGAATCCTATAGTTCTAGCCATACATCAGAAGCTCAATCATCCAATAAAGACAAATCAGAGAAAACAACTGTGAAATTTGCTGGAAAATTCTGACTCAAGACATGCTTCTGACCTTTATCAGTATTTACTGCATTTTCAACCAGAACTACAAGGAAAAACTTGGAGAGAGAAAGTCATAATTTTAACATTGTTTTCAATCTCCACAAGCAATGTATAGCTCCAAACACACATACTCAACACACAAGCAAAACAGTTACATGGCTAGACAACCTGGGAATGTCAAAGGATGTCATCCAAAGTATGCCTCATGAACCTACTGTTCAGGATTTTGTCCTGAAAGGTACTGATATCTGTCAGAACCTCCAAAGAAAACTTGATGTCAATGTAGCTTTGGGGTTCCTGAGTTCCCATCAATAAATTAGAAGCCAAATTCTACAAAGGAGTTTTGTGACTTTGTTAATGATGCGGCTGCTGCCTGCCCAACACTTACTTGAGTGATTAGTTCCCCAGGGGATATCATATTGATATGGTAAACTCCCACAAGAGAATATCAGAAACAACTCCACAGAAGTGTGAAGACCCTCATCAGCACAATGAGGCAGACAATCCTTCTGCTCAAATAAATCAAGGCTGCATGCATTAAACACTGATTTGCAAGATTTGCTACCTCCTGTGAACTTGCTCAATTAGATTGAGAGCCTGCGTGCCGCTTCCTTTAGGAGATGAAACTGATAACAGACTCAGTTATTTGTTATGCATCTGGTTGTCAGCAAGGTCTGCGTGTTCGTGCTGCTCTACTGCACAATAATTACTTATTCCTTGAATCAGGAACTTGAATTTAGTTTTTCTAACTCTGCTGTGAACGCTGACACCACTGGACTACGGCAAATGTCTGTCTCAGGCCCAAACAAATGGAGATGAAAATAATCCCAAACTACTAGTAAATACAGTTGCAAACTGACATTAGCACAAAAAGTGAACGTTTAATATTTATATCACAACAGTGAATAAGATCATCTACATTATTATAGCTTATGATGCAGTAGTTCCTGTCCAAATAATGCATGTCACTGCTGTCTAACGATGCCATTCCAAACATGATCTACTTTTCAGGGAAAATGGGATTCCCATAAGAAATAAACCAAGATAATTTTCAGCAGATATATAGTAATGTTTGAAAGGGCCTTAATCAGTTCAGAGCACGCATCTTCTATCTTACCAAAAGCTGAAAACTTTTGTCCGGTAACTCCTTTGGAGCTAAGGTTACGCTATCCAAATAAATAAAATTTGGGAACCCCTGCTTTGAAACTTGAAGAACTCCTAACAGACAAGAAATGGGAGAGAGAGTGTGAGGCAGGCAGTTCTCATGCCCTGAGACAGGGACACATGTATCAACCCAGAGCACATTTTCTCTGAATATGAAAGCTGTTCTGTGCATGGAGTTAAATAAATTAATCTATGTCACTCACAATCTGATAAAGCTTTTAGATTAAAGTTGAACTGAAAAGGATTTCACTTCAATGACAACTTGTTTCTTAAACTTGAAGTCAACATAGCGTATATCAAATATGACGTATCATGTATGTATATTTTACATGTTGGGGCCTCTGACTCCCTTTGCCAGTCTTGCAATACGGCTAAACACTTACTGAAATATTTACCATCATAAAAGCAGATTTTAAGCAAACATGATAATCAAAAAACACCCAAACAAGCAAAATGTAAGCAAGAAAATGAATGTTTACAGAAGACAAATATGAAATAAGGCAGTGGCCCACTAAATAAATGGAGCAAATTGGACGCTCCTGTGTTGCAGTTCTAAGGAATAAAAGGAACTCCATTTAAATAGTAAGTAAAGCAAATATCTACATTTAAGCCCAGGATTCCTTTTAAGTGCAATATATTAGTAATCTAGGGAACTTGCTGTCATTCAATATCATTCACAGCAAGGCATTAGTAGGATTCATACGATTCATACATTGGATTATGTGTCATTCTTAAGGAACTGACAGGATTCTCTGAAACATCATTTCCCTTTTTATGACTGGAGTTGCCTTGAAGGTACCAAAATCTTTTCATTTGAAATATGGGACCATAATCAAGAAAAATTTAAAAAACATTTTGGACTATGTATTTGTATAATCTATAGTTACATAAAACAGGATTAGGAAAATATAAAGGTATCAATTCTCACACTTGCAAGCAAATCCAAA